TTATACATATAGATTATAGAAAGATATGTCTATAAACACTTTCAACTAAAATCAATTCAAAGTGTCGTTGATAATACATTATGATTTCAGTAAATTATTTACTATTAACCATTTTTTTTGTCAACTTACCTTTTAACCATCTAATAGACATACATACAGATTACAACGAAATCACAAAATGCATGATTTTCGACGCTCTCCCACACACACACAAAGTGAATTAACTTAAGTGATCTCTCTCGTTAGGTAGCTCACAAATAATGAACCAAAATCCTCTTCACCATATACGGCTAGAACCCTCTCGATCGACACTATATAAACATAAGTAACCCCTAACCTCTAAATACATCTAAACAAACAATCTCATATCTCATAATACATAAAAGATAAAGAAGGAGAAGAAAATGGCAGCCTCGTCCAGCGCATCCAAGTCTTCAATGGCCACGACCTTGAAGGTGGCCGTGATGGTGGCTTTGGTCTTGGTGGTGACGGTGGATGGACAGAATTGCAACACGCACTTGAGTGGACTCAACGCGTGTGGTGAGTTTGTGGTTCCTGGAGCTGACAAGACGAACCCGAGTGCCGAATGTTGCACTGCTCTTGAAGCAGTGCCAAGTGAATGCCTTTGCAACACGCTTCGCATTGCCTCTAGGCTTCCCACTCGCTGCAACATACCTGCCCTTTCATGCAGCTGATGATATGGACGTTATATCTATGTAAGAGTACACCAACACATTTAAAACATTATTTGCTTATATATATATATATATATATATGTATAATAAAGTTATAAAGGATTTAACCAGCTTATACTAAGCTCTCGATATTTTTTTTTTTTTTTAAATTACAGGAGAAGCATGGAGAGAGATCAGACGGGATATGTGATATCAAACAATAAAAGCTCAAGAGTTTTAGTTTTAGTTTATGTTTTTTTTTTTCTCTTTTCTTTTTTGTTGTTTCTGTTAGTCGCTATAAAACCAATGGGTTTCGAATAAAAATATGAATAATATTGAAGAGATTTAGAAGTTTATTAAATGATCCCAAACCAACAGAAAACAAGAAAACCAAATAAATCGAGGTAATATCAATAAAGGAAAGTTCCAAAAAAAAAATATATATAATAGGTCGCGGGACAAAAACATACATACTCCTTTCAGATAAAGCATATCCTTTCAAATTCTAATAATTTTCTTACAAAAACATACTCCCACCATTTTATAATAAGTGTCGTTTTGACAAAATGAATCTGGACTATTTATTAATGTATTTGGATATGTTTTAAGTCTTAATACATCCATATATATTTAGATACATTGGATAAGTCAAGAGTCGAAACGACACTTATTATAAAACAGAAGGAGTACTAGAATAATGCCCGCATTATACGCCGAATAAAATGGTTATTAAGTAAAATTAAATTAGTATAGTTTTAGATAAAAAAATCGGGTTTAGTTATTTAATGGAGAACCTGAAATTTATCTGTATATATTATGTTATTGTTTTGGAAATAATATGTTTCACCGTGATATATTTATAGTTTTTTTTTTTTTTTTTTTTTTTTTTTTTTTTTTTGTAACATCTGCTTATATTGATTTAAATAGTATAAGGGAAATACAAGTAGTTCACCAACCACATTGGTGGGGTTGCATAAATTAAGGAAGAAACTGAAGAATCATAATAAACAAACTTTGAAAGAACATCTGCTGCTTGATTCTTTTCCCGATTGACATAATCCAAAGAGGAAAAAGGGAGTTTCCTTATCCAATGACGAATGTCATAGATCAGGTTGCCCAAATCCACATGCTGCTGTTGTTTATTGATGATAGCTGTAAGCTCTTTGTTAGCACCTTCAAACCAAACTTGTCTCCATCCTCTGCTCCACATTCTTTGTACAACATACAAAAATCCATATGCTTCAGCTTCCAACAGAGATCCCACTTGTTGTAATTTAGCCCAACCTGCATCCATGTATGTGCCTTCCAATCACGAACTATCCACCCTACACACATATAATCCAAATTCTCACAATAACTACTATCAAAATTACATTTGAGATAGTTTTGAGGCGGTGGTTCCCACTGACTGGATCGGTTTCTGTGTAATTGTTCTTGTCGCTGATAGTAGGATTTTTGCTATCAATTACTCAAGCCTACTACTCATGTCATTGTAGCATTTGAGGTATCAATCCATAGGGGTTAAGATTAAGACAATAGGAAAGCAAGAAACAATCTAATCCAAGCCAAATCAAAGAGGGGTTTTTATCTAGCAACCTAAATGAGAATCAAACATAAAACTTAAAGCAATAACATAAAACAAGAAGCCAAACTCAAGAGACAAATACAAAAACGAAATGGGTCTTGGGATGGGGTCATTGAACTAGAGAGACTCTTTGACTAATCTATGATGCTCAAACAATCAAGTGAAAGCTAATCCTTAGGCATAGAACTCTTAAACAAGACTAATCCATTCTCATGACATTAATCACTTTGCTAATTACAAACTTCAAGACTAATCATCATTAGTGAAATTCGAATTTAGCAAGCATTATAAACAAGTTCTATCAAGCCAATAAACATCTTAAACAATCATTCTCATGAGTTAAGAATATAAATCTCTTGATTTAGTTGGTTGAGACATTTCATCAAACACCTTGTGGGTATGAAATGCCCTTTGATCTAAATCACTTTTCTCAAAGCTAATCTAGCATTAGGATCACTAAATCAAGAAAGGATATTAGCAATCTAAGCCTAAGCATCAAAATTAATCATTGAATCTCTCTAAATCTTACCCATCCCTAAACCCTAAAATATCTACTCACTAATCATGCTTAAATCAACAAACCCAAGAAGAGGGAGGTTGATAAACATGATTAGCAAGTTGAGAGAAGAAAGATTAATGAAAGAAATCTCTTAAATTCAATAATCTCTTCAAAAGATCTTGCAAAATGTGTTTTCAAAAGGTTTTTGTCTAAGAACAATAAATTACAAGATAGAGGCTGCCTAAAAAATTAGGTCTTCATGGTTTATATAGTAAGTGAGAGGAAGGAGTCTTGGTCAACGTTTTTAGCCTTGACTTCGCAGCTGCACGTGTCTTGAGCAAACTCCTCAAGTGCTCTGTTTTTCGTGCTCAAGATTCTGTTCCGCCAAATTCCTCAAGACGCCTTTGAACTCTGATTAACCTCCGGCTTGTCTCCAGTCATCATCCCCTTCTGCTCCCATCAGCTTCTAGCTCCAATCTCCTGATAAATACACTCTAAATGCAATGGAAATGCAAAGTGCTATTCAAAAAGCTAAATGTCCTACAAGATGAATCCTACACTAAATGCTATGAAATGAGACTCAAAGATATACAAAACTATGCAGAATATGATGCTAAATGCATGCAAATATTGAGTACATCAACACCCCCACACTTACTCTTTGCTTGCCCTCAAGCAAACAGAAAATAAAATGGAGAGATGCCGACTTGAGCAAATTGGTCAAGCAAATGCAGAGAAGAGAAATCAAGTCAACAACCTAGTTCCAAGGTCTAAAGCGCAAGTGAAGTGCTCTACTTCAAAAATCTTAGCCACACCCTTCAATTACAATCAATGAGATCTAGCTCAACCTAAACATGCATTCAAATCCTCCACTCCTTTTAACATTCATTAAAAACATGTAACCATGGATCAAAACTCATGCAGGTCAAGGATGCTTGTTTGGCTGAGAAAAGAATGAGCAAGTATGAATAATATGCGCTCAAGTCAATCAAGATCAGGAAAAGGGGTTCTCTCAAAAGAATGTGAAAGAGCTTTGACATAATGCTAAAGGCTAGAACCAACTGATGTGTACAAGGACAAATGATCATCTACCCTTTGTACCTCAACCGAATCCTAAACCTGAAGAACAACTCAAAGCCCTCCTATTTCTACCCTTTTCCCTTTGGTTTTTGACTTTCTTTTTCTTGCTTTCTTCAGGAGCTTTTCGCTTGGGCAGCTAAGAGGAATTTTTCCTAAGGCTTTTAACTTTACTCACAAGACTTGGTCTAGATCTTTTCTTTTCTGCCCTAACCCATCTTTCTTTTACTTTTTCTTTTCTTTTCTGTTTTCTTTCTTCTTTTTTTTTTTAGATGGGGGCTAAACTTATACAAACTAAGACCAAGCCCTTATAACCTCTTTCACTCTTGCTGCTTTTCTCTCTGCTCAAGACTTTCTTTTTCTTCCTCAAGACCCCAACCCAAAAATGAATTCCCAAGCCCCATCCTAGCCTAGTCTAGTCCAAAAAGGCGTGGACTAGAGTCTACATGATCACCTATCCTTGTCGGTTCAAGACCTAACACTTTATGCCAAGCTTTCACCAAGAGGTCTCACAACACACAAGAATAACATTTGGCTTGAAGGAAAGGATTGGTCAAGGGAGGGGAGTTCTACTTGAATCAACAGAGATGGATAAACAATGTGCAAAGATGATTCAAGTATGTATAATCCACAAGCAGACTTAACCAGCATGAGCATGATAATTTAAATTCAAATTTAGGTTCTCTTGAGCAAGGAGTGGATTCAGATCAAAGCAATGCATTCGGTTTTACCAAGATGATCATGATGCTCTTTATTGGTGTGGTTCTATCTTAACTTCAAGTTCAATCACATGCGCCAAACAACTTAGAACTAGGGCATTGAATCAATTTCGCAACTCAATCAGTCTGCTCAACCAAAGAATGCTCAAGTGTAAAGCTAAATGATCCTAAACTACATGCTCTGTTTTTTAGTTTTATATGCAATTTTGAAAATTTTATATGATTTTCTATATGATGCAAATGCATGAGACTCAAGGATGCTAAAAGAAAATAAGAACACAAAACACTTCGTCAAGTACCATTGACCCTCTCCCCCACACTTAATTCACACAGTCCCTTGTGTGATAAAAAGGTAGAGAAGAGAGATCAAAGCAAAAGACAATAAAATAAAGGAAATAGATGAGTGATATGTACAATGGAATTGGAGAGAGGACCATACCTTGGCCCTAGCCTTTGTCCTTAGGGAGCTGGAGAGAAGGAGTAGCAGAACTCCTTGTTGAGCTGCTGATGGCAAGATGAGTTGAGGAATCCAGACTTGTGCTCTTTGTGAGGTTGACCAAGAGGATTGTGGAGAGTAGCTCTTCAAGCTTGCCATGGTCTTTTTCCAGCATCTTGGGATGGAGAATGGCTTTAACACGTGAAAATGGCTTAGAAGTACCCTTGCACTTCACCTTGTACTCAATGGTTCCATTTATGTGTCTCAAAGGGTGTAAGCTCATAGTGTGAGAAGATGGAGCATGGCTGGTCAAGTGGTATCCATATGGCTTCTTAGACTCTTTCTTTTTGACCTTCTGTTTGTCCTTGATATTCTGAACCTCCTTCACCAATGTGGTAGAGAAAAGAATTTTCAAACAAGCTCCATCCAATGCTAAAGCTTCCTCAATATTACCATAATCCAAACCATTTTCCTCATGAGATTGGTTCTTCTTCTTACAAGCTTTTGGGTGTGAAGCTAAATTCTTGCTCTCACAATTACTCACAATCTCCTTAGTCTCTAATGAGGGAAGGAAGAAAGAGCTTAGACATTTTCCATTGAGAGCCAATGCATCCTCTTGGGTCTCCTCAAGCACACTTTCTTCCTCAAGAACATTTTCTTCCTCATCAGCCCACTGGATGGATTCCAAACCATAGTCTTGAGCTGTGCCCACGTCCTTAGCCTCTTCTTCATGCTGGGGTTCACCAAGTTGTCCATCAAAACCAAATGGTGTCTTTTCCTCATTAACCTCAACAGCAACATTGTTAGAATCTTGAGAAGGTTCATGGTTCTGTTGGTAGCTTTGTTGGATTCCTTGAACTCCATAGTTAGACCAATGATTGAGGAACATACTCTCTTGGTTGGAGATCCCATTCTTGACCACGAAATTGGCTTCCTCTGGCGCTGCTCAAGATCCAAACAAACTCCTCTATTTTGCACACTTAGGAGCTTTTCTAGTCTATCCAACTTATCTTGCAAAGCTGTCCATGTGGAGTCTTCATATGAACTTTCTTTGGGGGTTACATCATGGCTTTCACTGTAGCTCTCCTCACTCTTGGCTAAGTTCTCAACCAGTAGCTCTCCTTGCTCTATGGTCAGGTTTAGAAAACTCCCTTGGCTAGCTACATCAATGTCCATTTCTGCTCCTTAGCAACTCCCCAATAGAAATGGCTAAGTATAGCTTCTCTTGTAAACCCATGATGTGGACAATCCCTAGTGTATCCTCTCAACCTTTCCCATGCCTCATGAAAGGTCTCATGGCTGTCCTGTTGGAAGCTTAAGATGTTTCTCCTCATTTGGTGGGTTCTTTGGGTGGGATAAAACTTTAAAAGAAAGATCCTCTTGCAATCATCCCAAGACTTGACCAAATGAGATTGTATAGCTCTTTCCCATTTGCTTGCCTTTTCTCCAAGTGAAAATGGAAACAAAAGGAGCTTGATACTGTCTTCAGGAACACCAGCACGCCTAAATGTGCCACACAACCTCTCAAAGTAGTCCAAGTGATCATAAGGATTCTCCAATCCATTTCCCAAGAACTTAGAGCTTTGAATTAACCTTATCAAGCTTGGCTTGATCTCATAGGCGTGGGCTTCAATGGGAGGTGGATGGATTCCATAACTAAGCCCATCATAGTGAGGAACATCACAAGTTCCAATTGTAGGCGTGACCACTTGAGCTTGGTCAGGAGTTGGTCTGACGTCTTGAGGTTGTGGAGCTTGAGGAACGCTCTGGTGACTGTCCATCTCCAGCACCTCACATGATATTGTCTTCCCAGTTCTCTTCTTCTTAGTTTGGTACCTTGGAAAGCATAAGAGAATAAGAGAACACAAGTTAGTAACAACATAAATGAAAAAGTTCATCATTTCCATGAGAGATGAACAAACAAGGAACAATAAAAGCTTAGTCTTAAATGAATTCCAAATCCTAATGCTTAATGCTAAACCCCATTGGCAACGGCGCCAAATTGATAGTAGGATTTTTGCTATCAATTACTCAAGCCTACTACTCATGTCATTGTAGCATTTGAGGTATCAATCCATAGGGGTTAAGATTAAGACAATAGGAAAGCAAGAAACAATCTAATCCAAGCCAAATCAAAGAGGGGTTTTTATCTAGCAACCTAAATGAGAATCAAACATAAAACTTAAAGCAATAACATAAAACAAGAAGCCAAACTCAAGAGACAAATACAAAAACGAAATGGGTCTTGGGATGGGGTCATTGAACTAGAGAGACTCTTTGACTAATCTATGATGCTCAAACAATCAAGTGAAAGCTAATCCTTAGGCATAGAACTCTTAAACAAGACTAATCCATTCTCATGACATTAATCACTTTGCTAATTACAAACTTCAAGACTAATCATCATTAGTGAAATTCGAATTTAGCAAGCATTATAAACAAGTTCTATCAAGCCAATAAACATCTTAAACAATCATTCTCATGAGTTAAGAATATAAATCTCTTGATTTAGTTGGTTGAGACATTTCATCAAACACCTTGTGGGTGTGAAATGCCCTTTGATCTAAATCACTTTTCTCAAAGCTAATCTAGCATTAGGATCACTAAATCAAGAAAGGATATAAGCAATCTAAGCCTAAGCATCAAATTCAATCATTGAATCTCTCTAAATCTTACCCATCCCTAAACCCTAAAATATCTACTCACTAATCATGCTTAAATCAACAAACCCAAGAAGAGGGAGGTTGATAAACATGATTAGCAAGTTGAGAGAAGAAAGATTAATGAAAGAAATCTCTTAAATTCAATAATCTCTTCAAAAGATCTTGCAAAATGTGTTTTAAAAGGTTTTTGTCTAAGAACAATAAATTACAAGATAGAGGCTGCCTAAAAAATTAGGTCTTCATGGTTTATATAGTAAGTGAGAGGAAGGAGTCTTGGTCAACGTTTTTAGCCTTGACTTCGCAGCTGCACGTGTCTTGAGCAAACTCCTCAAGTGTGCACGTGTCTTGAGCAAACTCCTCAAGTGCTCTGTTTTTCGTGCTCAAGACTCTGTTCCGCCAAATTCCTCAAGACGCCTTTGAACTCTGATTAACCTCCGACTTGTCTCCAGTCATCATCCCCTTCTGCTCCCATCAGCTTCTAGCTCCAATCTCCTGATAAATACACTCTAAATGCAATGAAATGCAAAGTGCTATTCAAAAAGCTAAATGTCCCTTACAATATGAATCCTACACTAAATGCTATGAAATGAGACTCAAAGATATACAAAGCTATGCAGAATATGATGCTAAATGCATGCAAATATTGAGTACATCAGTCGCTCTTTGATCGGATTCGCCAATAACCATTCAGAAAAAGAGTTGATCCCTTTAGTTGCCTCACTCTATGGATGAGATTTTCTGTTGAAAGAGATATTCGTTCCTTGATTTCCAAATCATCCACGCAATCCATGAAAAAAGAAAAGGTACCTCATTTGGAAATTATTGATTGTCAGATATACACATCATCTTCTTGATATTTCCTTCCAAATCCACATGTGTGGCATCAAAAGTTGTAAGGTTTGCACATCTCCAAATTTATTGTGCGTGTTGGTATTCAAATAGTAGATGATGGATTCCTCATGTAGACAACATCTTTGGCAAATAGGATCCATATTAATACCTTTTGTACATAAGCGTTCAGCTGTCGACACTGATCCTGTGATAACTTTGTTGTACTTTCAGAGCTGTCTTCATCTTCCACACGCTTTTTTCAGGTCTAAGGATCCTGGTGGTGGTTCTATCTGCTCTCCGTTCGGCACAATATGAGTTGCTACCCAATAACATGATTTCACATTATATTCCCCATTGCTATTATATGCCCAAAAGTAATCATCAGTTGTGGTATACCTAGACAAGCGTATCATTTTTGCAAGTTCAACATCTTCAGGAGTTAAGACAGAAGTAAGAGCTGCATCATCCCATTCTCCCAGACCCGGTTTCCACAGTTGTTCCACCTTCATCTGAGACGGAGGTAATCTTCTTGTGGCCAGTCTTGGAGGCAGGACCGGTAGCCAATGATCATCCCATACACTTGTCTCCTTTCTGTTGTCTATACGTACACGTAAACCTTTTCTTAGCAAGTTTTTACCTGCTTGTATTGATCTCCATCCATAAGATGGATTGCCTCCACCCACCGACTCTAAGAATGTCGATGATTTGTGGTATCTTCCTCTGTATATTCTAGCTAGCAATGAGTTTGGGTTCCTAAGGATCCGCCACGCTTGTTTCGCCAGTAAGGCCAGATTAAAACAATGTAAATCTTTAAAACCCAAACCACACTCATGTTTCGGCATAGCTAGACGTTTCCACGATATCCAAGAAATCTTTCTTCTTCCATTCTCATTAGTACCCCACCAAAACTCAGACAAAATACTATCTATCTTTTCACAAGTCTATTTTGGTATAAGAAAACAATTCATAGAATATACCGGTTTAGCTTGAGCCACTGATTTGATCATTACTTCCTTTTCGGCCGTGCTCAGAAATTGGTTGACCCATCCGTTCACTGTTTTCTTAACTCCATCAACCATTCCTTGAAACGCCTCTGTTTTGCTTCGTCCAAATTGCTCCGGTAATCCCAAATATTTCCTCTGCCTCCTACATTATTGATTCCTAAAATATTTTGGATGATTGTTTTCCGCACATGTAGAATCTGCATTCCATAAATGATTGACGATTTCTGTAAATTGACCATCTGACCTGATATTGCTTCATAATCCCTTAGTAGTTTTGCTATCCTTGAGAAATCTTCATTAGTTGCTTCACAGAAAATCAATGAGTCATCAGCAAATAGCAGACGTGAGATTAATGACTATGTTTCGAAATAGCCATTCCTTTAAACTCCTTTTTAGCTTCTGCCTGAACAAGCATCTAGGATAGTGTTTCTGCACAGAAAAACACAAATATTGGGGAGAGAGGATCACCTTAACGTATTCCTCTGCTTGGTTGAATGAAACCGTAATCCGATCCATTGATGAGAACTGAAAACGAAACCGATCTAACACACTCCATAATCCAGCTTATTCACGTCTCAGAGAAACCCATTTTCGTCATTACTGTTTCCAAGAAATCCCATTCCACCCTATCATATGCCTTACTGATGTCTGTCTTGATAGTTATGTACTTTCTTGCACAATCGCATTTGAATTTGAGTGCATGCATAAGTTCATGAGTGATGTACTCAATATTTGCATACATTTAGCATCATAATTTGCATGGTTTTGTATGTCTTTGAGTCTCATTTTCATACCATTTAGTGTAGGTTTCATCTCCTTAGGAACATTTAGCTTTTAAATTAGCATTTTGCATTTTCCATTGCATTTGGAGTGTTTTCCTAGGTGTTTGAGGCGTTTAGCAAGATGGAGGCAAGTTGGGGTAGTGACTGGAGCAAGACAGAGAAGCTAGAAGCTGATCAGAGCTCAGAAGTGTTCAAAAATTCGCAGACCAGAGGACTTGAGCAAGAAGAACAAAGCACTTGAGAAGTTTGCTCAAGACCGTCATAAAGGACAAAGTCAACAGGGACGGAGTTGACCAAGGGTTCACTTATCTTTTACTATAAATAGCTGAAGACCTAATTTTATTAGGCATCTTGGATCTTTTCCTTGATCAAAAACCTCTCTCTTTGCCTCCTTTCTTTTATTTTCGTTTTTGTAAGATCTTGGCTTGATTTTAATGATTTTGAAAGTATTCTTCTTTGAATCTTTCTTATTTATCTTAGTTTATCATAATCATCATCTTGTTTCTCTTAATTTCGAATTTCTCATGTCTTTTGAGTAGTTCTCTTTAGGCTCATGGGATGAGTTAGATTTAGGGAGATTTGATGGTCAACCTTGATGTTTAGGACTTGATTTGCTTAATCCTTCTTTATTTGGTGGTCTTAATGCTAGATCTTCTCTGATCAAGTTGATTCTAGATCTTAGGCATTTCATGCACCAGAAGTGTTTGATGAAATGCTTGAACCAACCATCTAAAGGATTTACATTCCTAGCTCATGAGAGTGATTGTCTAGGGTGTTTATTGGCTTTCTAGAACTGAATCTTTATGCTTGCTTTTATCAATTTCACTAATGAGAATTAGTTCTTGAGATTGGTAATTAGCAAAGTGATTAGTACCATGAGAGTGGATTAGTCTTGTTAATGAGTTCTTTGCCTAAGGATTAGCAATCATTAAACTGTTTGAGCATCATAAACTGACTTGAGAATCTCCCAAGGTCAATGACCCTCATCCCAAGTGCCTCCATTTGCATTTCTTTCATCTCTTGCATTTTTATCTTATGCTTTATGTTCATTTAGGTTGTTAAAACAAAACCATTTCGAATTTGCTTAGCTCACTTATGTTTCATGCATTCTTGAAGTCTCTATCTTGACCTTACTGGATTTGACAAAGAACCCCAAGCTATACTTCAATTGATTAAAAAGGGGGTTCATTTGTAAAGAGTATACAAAAATCTCTCTTTCAAATTGGCGCCGTTGCCATTGGGGTCTTGTTTAGAGCTTAGCTAAGTCTAAGAACTCGTTTTCTGAAGCCGGAAATAAAGTCCTCCATTCTGAATTTGCCATTACTCTATCTAGACAACACTCCACTATCTCATTTCTTGTATTCCTGACCCAACTAAATATGTTTCCTTTGTGCTTGATGTCTTTCATATCAAAGATGGCCAACATCTGGTTAAAATCTATGAAACTACTAGCCGCACGTATTCTGCCTCCTCTCTTCTCTGTCTGATTCAAAATATCATTGAAGTCTCCACACATCATCCATGGTCCTTGTCTTGAAACTGATATTCTCTGCAGTTTTTCCCATAAACAATGTCTCAGATGCGGTATTGGATGACCATAAATGCAAGATAAGTAAAACTGAAAAGTTTTATATTCAATGCAAAGACCAATAAGACGAACATCAACTGAAATACATGAAACAGAAACATGATCCTTCCATAAAACTACAAGACCACCAATAAGACCTTGAGGAGAGACAATTTTCATCTGACTAAACCCTAACTGAGCACCAACATCTCTCACATAATCATCACATTGCTTCGTTTTCACCAAGAACAAAAAATCTGGGAGATACACCCTCTGTACCTCCTTGAGACGTCGAACTGTGAGGCGCTTTCCCAAGCCCCCGACAGTTCCAAACCGCGACTCTCATGGAACCGGTGGTGGAACCGGGCCCACCGCGCCTCTGTTTTGTGGGGTGTGATTGGGAGAAGGTGTCTCCGAACCGATGTAATCAGCTTGAATCTTATTGAGCGAGTTTGATACCTCATCATTCAGCAGTGATATCGATGAACTTCCATTGTCGTATTCCCCATTTAGCTTTGCCTTCTTCGTACTTGGTTCCTCCTGAAGCTCTCGCAGCACATTACATCCCATTAAACTTCCATATTCTTGGAAAGAGCCCTCAACAATTGTCTGACCTTCACATTGAGGAATATAATGGTTATCATCTTCCGGCTCCTGATCTCCATTCCTTGGTGTGATTGGGGAAGCTTGTGTCCCCTCTTCTTCATCTCTGAGGAGATCCGTGCCAGAGCCGCCATGAAACGGTGTTTCCTCAGTGCTTGTGCTTCATGATCGGCTGCACCAACTCATAAGGAGTCATATAAAAGTCAGCAGCTCTCATATCATCCATATCTTCAGGCATTGCCTCGTCTCCTGCCGGTTCTTGGTGGTCTTCATTGTGGCCACCATCATCTTGCATCTGATGTTGGTTGAGATGTTGCATGAACGGATTTGGAATGTGAACGTGATGATCCTCATCATCCCCGTTGGCATCATCTCCATTGTTGTCATTGTCATCATCATCTCCCGCTTCTGGCAAATCCTCAACGACAACACAAGCCCCTGTGTCATGGGTTAGGCATCCACACACTTCACAGAATCCACGAAGCCTCTCATACTTGAACTTGATCACCGTATTAACATCATGTGTGAACTAAAAGTTCCTCTGAAATCGTAGAGGATTATCTACATTCCAAGTAACCTTCACTCGCACGAGCTCGACAGCAGCAGCAGCTTCTGGATTGAAATCAACAACTTTGACAGGTCCCAGAGTGCTTGTAATGTGGTTGATGACGTTCCTGGTGAGGAAAATGAGTGGGATTCCACAGATCTGCATCCAAAAGGAGATGGTATTGAGATCGAATTCGTCCATTTCTGGAGTCCACCTTTTGAGGACCAGCATCCTGTCTCCAAACGCCATGGTCCGCTGTTAAGAACAGACTGCATGAGATCTTCCGAGGGGAAGACGAATTGGAATCTTCTTCTCTCAATGACCCGACCAGCAATCGATCCAGACAGTCCCCATTTTTTCGTGGTAGTGTGGCGACAATTGTTCGGAGGTTCTGATGACGGGGAATTAGGGCACGGCCAATTAGGGAAAATCGGTTCGCACGGATAGCTTCATGGCACACTGTCGCTGGAATGGGCACCGGCGCATCATCGATCCCGAGATTGAGATCCTGAATTGCTCTGCGAAGATTGTTCGCCACTGTTACTTGATTTCGTAAGAAATGAAAGAGATAATAGATTTACAGAAAGGGAAGTAAAAGCTTAAGGATTGTGGGATGAGATCTCTGAGACAGATTTGAGCGGATTTTATACTTATCTTTCTGACGAAGAGTTTGAAAACCGTCGTAGTTGGACACGAGATCCACTACGGAGATGGAGCATCCTAAGATGGAACCGTCAATTAACCGCTCCACGACCGAGGTTGTGCGTGAAACCGTCCCCACGAAGGAGAACGTGATGAAGATCGGAATTAACCGCCAGATCACCTTAAGTTAAAAAACTCAGTATAGCAAGAGTTATTATATAAAATCCGCAATTTTTTATGTATATTTAAATTTGAATAAAATGTTTCATGTACTAAGTAATTTTAAATAAACAGTTTTATTTTTAGTTGAATAACAAATATTTTATATATATTATCATATCAATTTGTGATATATTGACTTAAATTTGATATGTAAATTGTAATTACTGATTTTTAAAGTAAAAACAAAAAAAGAATTTAAAATGTAAGATTTAATATTAGATTTTTGAAATAATTACTTTTTGTAAGTTTAGAAAATATAAATATGTTTAGTTATAGGAGTTAGAATATTCAAAATAGGTAGTAATGAAAATAAATGTGTTTGGTAATTGGTGTATAGGAAATAATAAATCAAAAATTAAATAAGCTGAGAAAAATTGTAAGCATTACATATCAACAAAATTGATCTTGATGTTTCTCCTTTAAATATATAGAGGATTTCTTATACTTATGGGTTAGTTTTTAAGATTCTAACCAGTTTCTGAGTATGACAGTAGGACATTTCTAAAGAAAACATTTATGTTAAAATCTCTTGATAAAAGATGTTTAGAATATGTAATTTGCTTAAAACAACCAATAAAATATTTAATATGTTATAAAAAATACTAATTTAACCCGAAAAGTGACAATAAAATCGGTTAAGGAACACTCCAAATTTTCAAATGTTGTATAAACGCATTTTATCTAAATAAAGGCATTTTATCTAAATCCCGCTTATTACAGATGCATGTTTGATGGGTTTTGTGCAAAAATAAAAACCCTAAACTAAATTGTTTTTGCAAGAAAAACCCTCACCTCAAAAAAATGCAAGTTAAACCACTCATTTCAAAAGTCATCCGCAATATAGCCCTTGCCTATATTGATGACGTGGCATTGTCAAAATCTTTTTTTAGAAAATAAGTTTTTGTGCCAAAAAACCTCAAACTATATATTTTTTTTTTTTTGCAAAAAGAGTCCTCATATAAAAAAGCTGCGTTTTGATTAGCCCTATGCATTTCAGATTTTAGGACGAGAATTAACGAAAATAGGATGGAAATGAGAAATTTGGGCAACCAAAGATGATACCCGAAGTATTTCCTTATTATTAGGGACAACAAAAATAACGGGAATGGGAAGAGAACGGAAAATATGAGAATAAAAAAAAAAAATTCTGAAGTCTTACTAAATCGGGAAATTGAAGATATTTTGAGAAATTACAGGAAAAATATGGGAAATTATAGGAAAATTTGGGATATTTAAGAAAAAGATATATAATTTTCAATTTTAATTTTTTAAACCGAAAATCAGAAAATCCCGTACCCTTTCCAAACCCTTCCCTTACCCGTTTGAATTGAATTTCCCGTTTGGGAACATTTCTTTTATTCAAACGGTAAAGGAAGGGTTCGAAAGGGTTCATGACTTCCCGATTTTGTCGTTTAAAAAAAATGAACGACAAAAATTGAATATCCCATTTGTTTTCTCTTAAGTATCCTAATTTTTCCCATATTTTCCAATAATTTTTCGTATTTTCCATATTTTCTCTTATTTTCTCCGTAATTTGCCAAAAATATCTTCAATTTTTCCCGATTTAGTAAGATTTTGGGAATTATTTTTTATTCTCAAATTTCCCGTTCTTTTCTCATCTTGTTATTTCTCGTCCCATTATAATAAGTGAATACTTTCGGTATCATATTTGGTTTCCCAAATTTTTCATTCCCGTCCCAAAAATCGAAATGCAGTGGGCTAATCAAAACACAGCTTTTTGATATGAGGGCTCATTTTGCAAAAAAATTAGTTTGAGGTTTTTTTGCCAATTTTTTTTTTTTTGAAAAGATTGTGACAATGCCACGTCATCAATATAGGGAGGAACTATATTGCGAGTGACTTTTGAGGTGAATGGTTTAACTTACATTTTTCTGAAATGAGTGTTTTTCTTGCAAAAATAATTTAGTTTAAGATTTTTTTTGCACAAAATCCCATATTTGATTGGTGACCAAACAAACTTTTTGATTCTCAACCATCAGTGTGATGGTGATAACAATAACACTATTGTCATTAATGTTTTATCCAACTCTTGGATCGAATTTACTCAGCTAATTACAGTCTACCTGAATGGCGCGTGTGACTTAACACCACTTTTAGCGCGTGGATGGTGGAAACGCTAAGCGGACATCACGAGCTCGGGCCACGCGCTTCTCTCCCTCTGTCTTTATTTTATTAATTAACTAATAAATAAAGACATTTGATATTTTTCACTGTCATCTCAAGAAAGAAAACTCTTTCCATTGGTCACATTTAAAATTTTAATTTGAAATAGTCTAAGAAAAAAATTGTGTTCTTATTTTAGTTTACAGTAACTCATTACTCATAGACTAGACTCATAGGTAAAATATTTAAATTGGTGCAGCAGAGTCAAACTAGATCTTCTAGGCCTTCTAGCTCAAGGCTTTTTGAAAAGGTTGCCGTTTTGAGATTTTAACTTTGTTTCTTAATAAGTCAAAATCTTGAGAGAAAATGACAAAAGAAGAAACCAATTTGGTCAAATTCGAAGCTTTTTTTTTGTTTTTTGGTCGAGTAAATAAGGGTATCATTTTTGTTTTTTTCCCCTTTCGAAGAAATGTCAAAGGTAATATAGACAAAGAGAAACAGAGATCTGAATTTAAAAAAAAAAAGGAACAAAGTCATATGATATAACTAACAAAGGAGACACCTTTCTCTTTCTCTTTCATTTTTGCTGATCTCACTCTGACGATAAAAATGGAAACCTTTTCTTGTCTGGTCATCAGAAAATCTTCTGAGTATTGATTGAAAGGTCAGAAACTTGATAAACAAGCAAAAAGTAAACACTGAGCATAGCTTTCGTGTAGTGTGTGAATGTGATGATGAGTTTCTATGGTTTGAATAGTACATATACATCGAGTCTTGAAGTATGTTCTTTTTTTCTATTGGTGGATTTGTCTTTTCTTTCTCGCTCTTATAACTTAAGACTAGTGTCTGGTTTTTTTTCTTGCAGAAAGGGAAAATGAATGGTGATCTTGTTCTTGAAATGTCTAGAGGAGATTTAAGAGATGATGAGTTTGAGAGTAGATCATGGACTGATCATAGCTTTGATGCAATGTCCGGTGATGAGAATAATCAAGAACAACCCCCAAAGAAGAGGAAGAAGAAGAAGATGAGAAAGTATCACAGGCACACATCTTACCAGATTCAGGAGCTTGAATCGTAAGTAGTTTATGTTTTGAAAAGCAACTAACTTTGCAAATATAGATTCGGTTTTAATTTGTTTGCTACATCTGAATGTAGTTTCTTCAAAGAATGCCCTCATCCTAATGAGAAGCAAAGGCTTGAACTTGGAAGCAAACTTGATTTAGAGAGTAAGCAGATCAAGTTTTGGTTTCAGAACAGAAGAACACAAATGAAGGTAGTGAAAAAAAGTTGAAATCTTGATTAAAAAAGGTTTGATTTTTATGACAAAGTTATGTTTTTTAATCCTCTTAACCAGACGCAACTAGAGAGGCATGAGAATGTGATTCTCAGACAAGAGAATGAGAAACTGCGAGTCGAAAACGGTTTCCTCAAAGACGCAATGAGAAGTCCTGTGTGCAAGAACTGTGGTGGAGAAGTTGTACCTGGAGAGGTTTCATATGAGCAGCAACAACTAAGGATTGAGAACGCTAAGCTTAAAGAAGAGCTAGATAGGATTTGTGCTTTAGCAAACAGATTCATTGGTGGGTCGATTTCACTCGAGCAGCCTTCAAATGGTGGGATTATTGGCTCACAGAATTTGCCTTTAGGAGGAAATGGTTTCAATGTTAGTATGAGTGAGAGCTCCATGTTTATGACTCTTGCCATAGAGGCTATGGATGAGTTGGTTAAGTTAGCGGAGTTGGAGAATCCTTTATGGATAAAATGCTCCAAGAGTGAGAAAGAATCCATGAACCATGACGAGTATAGAAGCATACATCCCGGTTTTGTAGCTCAAGGCTCAAGAGAAACTGGTTTAGTTCTCATCAGTAGCTTGGATCTAGTAGAGACTCTTATGAACACGGTATGTGATACTTTTGTATATACCTTCTATTAGTATTTAGTAAGTTTCTTGATTTTGGGGTTTTTCTTGACAGAGCAAATGGGTTGAAATGTTTGAGTGTATTGTCTCCGTTGCATCAACCGTTGAAGTGATATCTAACGGTGGTGATGGATCAAGAAACGGCTCTCTTCTATTGGTATGTTGCTCAAGAAAAGTTTATGTTTTGACTTTTGACCACATTGGTGATTATTCAATGGTTCTTTTTGTTGGAACAGATGGAAGCAGAGTTTCAAGTGATGTCTCCATTAGTTCCAATCAAAGAAGTCAAGTTTCTTAGATATTGCAAGCAACATGGAGATGGTTTTTGGGCTGTCGTCGATGTCTCTTATGATATAAACAGAGGAAATGAGAATGTGACATCTTATGGTGGCTTCAAGAGACTACCCTCAGGCTGCATCATACAAGACTTAGGCAATGGTTGCTCCAAGGTAAGTTCTTAAGTCCTCTTTCTTCTTTTAGAATATCTTCTTGGATCTATGTGAGATTTTATTTGAATTCTTTATAGGGAAGAAGATTGGTTAGTCGACAATTAGCCAGAGAACCTGAAACCTTTCTAAATATCTTATCATAAAACTCTTGAAAGATTCCTCTTTTATAAGTTAAAAATTAAATAAATATCAACTCCAACCAAAGGCTATATAATATACATTCTTGTTTACTTATATCGATGGAAACTTGGGTATGTTATTCATCTTGGATTATAAAAATTATGCTATGTAACATATCATAGTAAAATGGGTCACAGGTGACGTGGATAGAACATTCAGAGTATAAAGAGAGTCACATCCACTCGCTTTACAAAACATTACTCAGCTCTTCGGTTGGGTTAGGCGCAACCAAGTGGCTCGCGACTCTACAGAGACAATGCGAAAGCCTCACGACCCTTTTGTCTTCTCAAGATCACACAGGTCTCTCTCTCTCTCTCAAATATGTTTCAAGATTTGAAAGAGAAGTCATTCAAGGATGTTTCTGTTTCTGTTTCTGTTTCTGTTTCTGATAGGTTTGTCACTTGCTGGAACCAAGAGTATACTAAAGCTGGCGCAGCGTATGAAGCTAAACTACTACTCGGGCATTACCGCTTCGTCGTCCATTCACAAATGGGAGAAGCTTCTCGCTGAGAACGTAGGACAGGAAACAAGGTTACTAACAAGGAAGAGCCTTGAGCCGTCTGGTGTTGTCCTGAGCGCTGCAACGTCTCTCTGGCTAACGGTGACTCAGCAGAGACTGTTTGAGTTTCTCTGTGATGGTAAATGCAGAAACCAGTGGGATATTTTGTCTGATGGTGCTTCAATGGAAAACATGCTTCTCGTCCCAAAAGGACAACGCCAAGGAAGATGCGTCTCTCTTCTTCGTGCTGCTGTAAGTTTATAATCTCTACGTTCTTGCTTATAATAGAGCTCTGTTCTTGCTTTACTAATTAGACCATTTGCAGGGGAAGGAACATAACGAGAGCAGTATGCTAATCCTGCAAGAGACATGGAATGATGCTTCTGGTGCGCTTGTGGTCTACGCTCCTGTCGATGTCCTGTCTATGAACAATGTAATGACCGGTGGAGACTCAGATAAAGTGGCGCTTCTTCCATCGGGCTTCTCGATATCGCCTGATGTATCATCATCATGGTCTGGTCAGATCGACACCAATGAAAGCAAAGGATGTCTCCTGACCGTAGGGTTTCAGATCTTAGTGAAGAGCCAAGCAAGTGCAAAGCTCAACATGGAATCTGTTGAAACTGTTAACAACCTCATCGCTTGCACCATTCACAAGATCAAAGCTTCTCTTAATTTACCTACTTAGCTAAAAGAAGTTGTTTTTATCTTTTTTTCCAGAGAGATACTAAATTTGATTTAGATAACAAACAAACAAATGGACCAAAAGTCTACATTTTGCAAAACTGATTCTTTGTTAAACTTTTTCAAGAAACATACAAGACACCACGACGATAGAAGACAAGACTCGCAGAAGCAAAACCAGACCAAACAAAGATCACCCACCAAGCCATCAACAAACCAACTTCTCTAACGAAATCACCGCAAGGCAGAGAGCCACATACCAGCTGAGTCGAGCTCAGGTCAATCTGAGACAAGCCGAGGAAGACGATCACAAGCACCGACGGAGCCAAGAACTGCAAAGCAACGAGGCACAAGTAGTGGTTATGAAGGAACATCTTCGCTCTGCTAAACTCCAAATCAGGAGTCTTGCTCCCGTGCAATCTCTGGTACCACGAGAGCACCGCTTCGTTCAAGAACATCTGCAGATTAGGACGAACCGCCATAGCTTGCAGCAAACCGGACGCTAACAAACACAAAACCCTAAACTTTCCAAAATCACCACTCGACAAGCCTACATTACCAACCAACCCAGCACTGTGGCTTCCTTTGACAAGAATCTCTGCCAATGGATGGATCCAAAGCAAAGAAGTGAAGACGGAGACAATGTAATTAGCATAAAGAATCATTCTACCAAACCATCCGCAAGAAATGATGGACAAATTACTCCTAATCTGATCAGTCCCAACCCAAAACGACCTCGCGCTTCTCCCTGCAGGCATGTAGAGGAACCCAGCGATGCAAGCCATGGAGGAAGATATGAGCACGCAGCAAAACGCATCGACATTACCCAATTGGAAATCGAATCCTTTAGGGAAAACCCCAGCAGCGATTATAATCCCGAAAACAAACCCTAAACCCCCAAAAATCAAGCTCAGTCTCTTCTCCGATTTCTTCGACGCGGATCTCTCGATCGAGATTTTCCCCAGAGCGACGAACACTTTGCAGAGCGCGACGAATCCGAGAACAATCGGGAACACCAATCCGTTTCCCAGAACGCCGTGGTTGTTATCATCCTCAACACCGCCGAAGTAACTGTGGAGAAGAAAGCACGAAGAAGCTAAGAAGGTTACGACGAAAAGCGTGTTGTACTCGGCGAAATACATCCGAGATCTGAGGTGATCCTCGTCGAGCTTAATCCTGAAGATCTGAGCATTGCTCTCGTCGAATTCGGATTTGTCCTTGGATCGATTCCTTCTCCTGACTTCGACATTGGGCTTCGGATCGTCGACGCTAGACGGGCGTCGGATCGCGGCTCTGACTCCTCCTCCACTCCCGGCGTTGTTCTGGCCGAGATTCTCCGGCTGGATGTAAGTGCAGATGCCGTGGAGGAAGATGATCGGGATTCTGAGAAACGTGAGGATTAGGGTTAGGGAGAGAGATAATAGGGTTTGAAGTGTGAGATTCCTGTAAGTTCCAAGAAGCTCGAGCATTGTTCTTTGCTTTGCTTTTTTTAGTTACTCTGTTCTTCTCGAGCTGATGATGATGAATTGATGATGTAACTGAAGCGGGCACAGGGTCTAATTTGTTGCGTTTGAGAGCTTGAGTCATACTTTCAAGTTTCAACTGGTAAAAATAATTCAGATGGGCTTTTAATGGTTTAGCTCTGAACCCATCATTATTTAGCTTTGGCCCAATACGGAATCCAATAAAATCCTCAAGGTTCCTTTGCTTTCTCTTGTGAACGAAAAAAATTCTGTGAATATTCTGCTGCTTCTATCAGTTATTCCTAGGCCTGAGCATAATGGATACTCGGATCGGTTTTGAGTTAGTTCTTTCGGTTCTGGATCTAATGGTTATTTAAATTATTTATCCAAATAGGAATGGCTCGGTTCCGGGTCTAGCAGTTTTCGCTTGTTAATAACTGTGAAATACCCGAATAATTGCGGATATCAATCGGATTTGGATATATTTCGGATATTTTACCCGTTTTAACATGATTTTACCCGAATTTCTCACTTTTGAACCATAAAAATCTAAATAAACTTCATCAGATTTTAATAAAACAGAACCACACAACACAAGTTTGAATTTTGAAATTTCAAATATTCAATCATTCAAGGTTTAAGGCACCAAAAAGGCAAAAACAAAACATAAATTTCAAAGTCAATTAACAAATAAGACAAAGTCGGATCTAAATAGGTACCCACAGGTATTTGGTTACTAACCTGAACCAACCCGAGAACCATGGCTATGGAAGGACAATAACTGACATGTGATTTAAGCCTAAACCAATACTAACCGGAACCGGGTTTTTTCAGGTCGGTTCCTGATCGAGTCCTTCTGGTCGGTTTTTATGCCCAGGCCTAGTTATTCCCCCCAAGTTTTTTTTTGTTTGTAAAGTCCTCATTTCGTTTTTGCGGTGTTTGGTTCTTTCTCATGAGCTTAGACTGCTTCTGAACAGGCCTGGCCGAAAATAGAAGCTGGGCCTTGTGCAAAAAATAATTTAAAATTAAATTTAGGTATATAATTTAATAAATTTAAAACTCTGGACCCTTAATGCATAATTTCATAAAATATAGGACCATAAAATATAAAGAAAAACAGATTGAAAAATTTGTGACCCGGTACTTTTGCATTGTGTGCACACCCTAGGGTCGGACCTGCTTCTAAACAACTAAACTCCTCATGTGCTGACGCTAAATGTTGCCTCTGATATCAAGCTTTCCAGGTTAGCCAATTGCTAGACAAGAAATTGCTGGATTATCAATATTGGAGCTTAGTTTAGTTTGGAGTGGTTGTCAGCCTTAGGTTCAAAAGAAATGTATACTCTTAGAAGAAGCTGTACAAAGGAATAAACTTTCATAAGTATTGCTATTTCATGGCATACACAACAAATAATACCCTTTTAACTTTTAAGTTTTAACCAAACACTTTCTTTTCTCTACCCGTTAGAGACTTAGAGCATCCGCATTGCATATACTCTTATAGGTTCTGACACAAAAAAGAAAAAGAAATAAATAAAATTAAAATGAGGTGGCAAGGAAAAGTAGCAGAAACGACTCTGTACGGAGGACTGGAAGAGACTATCTCAAGAGGAACTCTACACCTGTCTTCACTTGATTAGCCCATTTATTATTTTCCTTTGAATTTCTTTTGCTTTTTAAAAAAATTAGTTTTTTAATATATTATAGAGCCTGTGATGAGTATCACCAATGCAGATGCTCTTAGACCACAAGTTCACGTTAATATAGTTAGGTCATATGACTCATACCATATGGATCCCAATTTAAATGGTTTTCTTTTTAGCACAATATTGAGTACAATATATATTTTATAGAAGAGAAAATCGTATATTTTAAAAATAATTCATTTAGTTATATTAAAATACAACACTATATGAAATGATATTGGCATATTGCTAATGAAAAAAAAAAAAAAAAAAAAAAAACTGCATGTTTTGGGACAATTTCAAGGTCTAGAAGGCAAAATCATCCGAAAATATTCTCCATATTTCATATAATTTAAGAAAACATATTAAGATTTTTGAAATGCCTATAACTAATACAATAATCTTTTAACTTTTTTGTTAATACGATAAATAAATAAGGATAGAAATAGAAATCTGCTCTAAATTATGCATTGAAAATCTAAAACGACAAATATAACAATTGTAATGAAACCAAAAGTTAAAGCTAAAATGACACTTATTATGTAACTGAGGGAGTATAATCTACTCAACAAATGAAACTGGAATCAAATAATTAAATATCGTTGTTGAGATAAAAAGATGATGTTGATGGATCAAACTCTGATGCATGCTACTCCCTAATCATAGTGCATATACTCCCTAATCGACTTCCATAAATCTCCATTCCCATCGAGCAGAGAGAAGGTGAGATGATGCTGAAACCCTATACATAGATTTTATTTCATCCATAATCTCTTTCTCTTTCTTCTTGTAGCAAAATGTCGGGGAGATTCCCACAGTCTTTAAACACTTTGAGTTTGCGAGGATATACTCCAAGAATTGTTTCTCTTCTTTTTCTCCTTCATAATCTTTCCACTCGAAAATCTCAAGATGAGATAACAAGCATACCGGTACTGAACTCGGTTTGTTCCACGGGACAATACTGGAGTAATACTGAGAAAGGAGTTTCTACACATCAGTTTCCTTTAAATTGTTAAGCAAACTTGTTTGAGAGAGAGAGGGAAGGTACTTACAGAGTCGATCATAAGAACTTTCAGTACAGGAGAGTTATCAAGGACAAGCATAAGTGATTCCAACGAAGACGCATAAAGAGTCAGCTTAAACTCTATGAGCCATGTGAAGTTAATGCCGCTACAACACGCAATCTGCAACGGAATGAAACTAACACAAATTAGTGAAAACAATATACAAAAGAAAAAAAAAATAGCAATTACATCACATGGAGAGAAGGATATTCAAAATGGTTACCTCCCTTAACTCTAAATCGAGAAACCTGACAGAAGAAAAAGATCTCAGAAACATGAAATTCTGGTGAAAACCAGCCGTACTAACAACGTCGACCAACGCCACATCAAGCCCTGGCGTATTCTGGATCGAGTCATAATCTCCTAAACGATCATAGACCCTAAGGTAATGTAATCCAGGGGAGTCTATAACCAATGACCTAGTAGAATCTTTATCGTATCCATTTTCACAGTATGTTAACTTCCTTAAAGAAGAAACTTTCACAACGAATCTGTTCACATTGTCACGCCCTTTTCGGGCGACAGTCAAATCTCTGAGAATAGGGCAACTTGATAAAAGCCTGACAGGAGATTCTTGGTCTTTATACACCACAAACCAAAGGTTGAGCGATAAGAGGGACGGGAGGCACGCCGGAGAAGGAACATCGACAAGAATCTTGTTTGATAGAGTCAAGTTTACAAGCGTTTTGCAATTGTAAATGCTCTTAGGCAAGCTGGTGGTGGTGTCGGCGAAGTTGAATTCTATGACGAGTTTGGGCAACATCGTCCACAGAAAACGCCATCGTTTTGACAAAAGCATCGTTTTCGCTGCATCTTTTGTTTGCATTAGAGACAATATGTGTATCAGCAAATCGTTAGGCAGATCACTGATTACTTCTTCGTAAATTCTTTCCACACAGATCTCAGACATCTTGACAAAACAGATTAAAACTTCACGAAGAAGAAAGCCCTAGTTTGATGATGTAGAGATTTTTATTTAAAGGGAAACCTATACTTTTGAACAGAATCTATGTTTAAACAAACTTTTATAGCTGATTTTAATCACAATATCTTTTTGATTTTTATATATACTAGATTAAGGCCCGCGTATACGCGGGTATATTTTAAGATTTTATAATAAAAGCATGGAAAATATTAAACAAAATTTGATCATTTTTAAACGTAAACAAAATAATATTGAAAACCCGATAAAAATATTTAAATAAAATAAGATTGGTAATACTTTTACATTTTTATTGTAATTGATTTTTCTTTTGAATTTATGATATGACAAAATGAATTAATTTGTTTTACTATTATTTTTATCCAATACAGAAAGACTTACACATGTCTAAATCTGATCAACTGATTAATTAATCAAACTTTTATTATTCCATTCAAGAGATTTTAATTGATGAAATCTTTATTTCAATTTTTTTACCTAACAAAAATTGAAAATCAAACTATTTAAAATTAGAATATCAATTATAATTTTTTAATATTAGTTAATTGCTTGATAATTATTTTGTTAGTTTTCTATTTATATTTTTTCTTTCTCAATTTTGTTTTTGCCTCAGACCATTATAAATACTATATATTGGTATTTTTCCTTTTCGAAATGGATTTTTTTTCCTTTTCTTAATAGATGTAACAAAAGAATTTAAATTATTTGTTTCCTGTTTTTTTATTACTTTTAATGGATGTATTATTTTTTCATTTTAATTATTTGTTATCTGTTTTTCTAATTTTTAGTTAGTCTTATACATATTAATTTTTATTTTTTTTATTCCATGACACATGTTACGATCTTCATACTTCCAGAATTTTTTTTTCTAAAACACATGTCGCAATTTTGTCAGTTATAAAAATCCTATGTATCGCAAAACTTTCAAAAACATGATTTTTAAATTGGAGAAATAGAATCAAAGGGATTTGATGAATTTGCTTTGATGAATTTATGATTGAGAAACTTGACTCTCTTTTATAGGGGTTCAAGTAACCTATTACATGCAGTTATAGGAAATTTAGTTTACATAACATATTCCATGTACAAATAGGATTTTATTTATTACATTATTTTGATTTTATTATTTGTTTGGATAATATTAATTTGATGAATGAGAAACCTTTCTCTATTAGGATATGACAAATATATTTTTATTTCTTTTAACTGTAATGGATTATTTTTTTTAAAAAATTTCCTTTATCTAAATTTTTTTATTTATTATTTTTTTTTTCTCTAAGACATGTGTCACGATCTTAACGGACGTAACATTAAAAGTGACACATGTCGCGATCTTATAAATTATAAAAATCCTATGTGTCGCAACCACGTGCGCATCCAACTTTATATAATAAAAAATTGATGAATGGGAAACCTTTTTCTGTTTGGATATGGCAAATATTATTTTTTCCTTTTTGATATAATAGATTAAATTAAATTTCGTTTTTTTTAATTAACATTTTTCTGGAATTTTTTTTTTAAGTTCTCTTTTTTCCTAAGACACGTGTCACGATCTTAACGGACATAAACTTAAAAGTGACACATGTCGCGATCCTGAATTTTATAAAAATCCTACGTGTCGCAACCACGTCGTGCGCATCCAGCTTTATATAATAAGATATTATTTACGATTACAAAATATTTTCAAAAACTAATATTAATCATTTGGATTGTACTTTAAATAAACTTAAATCTTTTATTTTTTATCTTTATATTATTAATTGAGAAGTACATGAAAATTTTCTGACCAAAAAAACAATCTAATTATGAAGAGAAAGTGTTTGACAACAGGTTTAATGAGGGTCAATTTAGTATATTGTACTGTTTGGATACAAGAATAAGAGAAAAAAAACTATTTGGATAGACGAATAAATTGAAAAAATTGTTTGGATACAAGAATAATAACTTAAAACAAACCGATGTTTAAAAAACTTCTGTTTTCGAGCTCTTAAAAATCTGCAAAAAAAGAAAACTTAACATAATCTATCGATAATACCAAATCAATAAAATATGATTTTGGATTTTCGGGTTTAAAGTTTTTTTTTGGTTTTGGGGTTTAGTGATATAAAAACCGTTCAGGTTTTTAAAATTTCTGATTCGGATTTGGTTTTCGGGATTTTTTGGATTTCAGATTTTCGGGTTTAGACATTTTAAAAAAGTTTGGGTTTTTAAGATTTTGATCAGGGTTTTTGAATCGAGTTCGGGTTTAGAATTAAGATTTTCTTCACAAAACTGCAACGTCACGCCGCGTGTTTGCGCGAGTCCTCTACTAGTTTATATTGTTAAGTGAGAAGTACATGAAAATTTTCTGACAAAAAAACCAATCCCTAATATACTAAAACACAAGTCACTCGCCCAATGGCAGAGTGACATGTGGAAAATTAAAAAAAAACAAATGCTAATTAATATGAATTAATTACATGTCACGTAAATCGTTTTACTTAAAATCGAGTTATTAAAAGCAAATAACTAGAAAAGCAAAATGGGCCATATCTCACTATTAAAAATAAGCCCACAAAATATTCAACCCAATAATATAACTGAATGTGTCAAAATGTATGACACCACGTTTTATCTTACAAACGAACACGATCTCGATAACTTCTTTTTCCCCAAAATCCCTAATTTTTCGCTTCCTAACTCACCACTTTCACGATCATGGAGATAAATCAAACTGTAAATCATGATACATAATTCTCAATCATCTCCTAGACTCAAACTGGTTATCAATTTTTGGAATAGTATGAATAAGATGAATGTATAAAAATGGGATACAAAGAAATGGGATAGTGGTAGTTACTGTTAAGTTATATGGGCTTTCAACTCAAAACCAATTGACAATGAGTGGAGAGGCCCATATCCCTTATATACTACTTGAGATCTCTTCCAACTTCCGATGTGGGATATTTATCCCTAATATGCCCCTTCGAGACGATGGCTCTTTGGTCATCGATCTCGGTATGTTCGGGCTTGGATCGCCAGCACCAATTTTGGGCATGGTCGATGATTGGACCAACTATGGGTCGGATCGGGTTGGAATGTATGGATCGGGGCTTTGATACCATATTAAGTTACATGGGCTTCCAACTCAAAACTAATTGGCAATGAGTGGAGAGGCCCACATCCCTTATATGCTACTTGAGATCCCTTCCAACTTCCGATGTGGGACATTTATCCCTAATATGCCCCCTCGAGACATTTATTAGGGATAAATATCCCACATCGGAAGTTGGAAGGGATCTCAAGTAGTATATAAGGGATATGGCCCTCTCCACTCATAGCCAATTGGTTTTGAGTTGGAAGCCCATGTAACTTAAGAGTTACGAGAATCAAATGAATGGAATGAATATGTTCATAAAAGTATTTACATAGCATGAATGGTAATTGTTTAAAGGAATACGATAGAATCAAAATAAATTTTGTTTAAATTAATTAGTTTAGTCACATTCCTTTCCATTCATTTTATTCATGATGCTTTCTGTTTTGGAATGGTTTTTAACGTGATTCACTTTTTTTCCCACACATCCCACTGGAATAAATGATATAAACTTTAACTTTTATTCAGATCAAATGGTAATATTTTTGTGGAATTCTTTGGAATCCTCCATTCCATGTGATTCCATTCAGAAAAATTGCAATCCAGTTGCAAAAATCAAGTCTGTCTTCCTCCGTCATTTTTATGTTTCACTTTTGTCATCTTTTTCCGTTATGTTTCATTCAAAGTTTCTTCTTATTTCTAATCAGACTTTTTTCTTAATTCAGTACAAATCGTGCCGTTCTAAGCTTCATATTCGATTTCTCTTCAAATTACTCAAATTGTTTTCATTTTTCTCATTTTCGTCATCCATTTGGATTATAAGCTCAATTCTTCGAAACAAGAATTGAAAATTAGAGAAGCCTGATTTAATTATCGGCATGGAAGTCATACTGGTATATGGAAAGGTAATCAATCTCTGTTTAACCATTGTTGATTTTTCTGTTTTTTGTCTCTTTTGCTTTTGTTAGTAATCTGAGTTTCGATTTTACTGTATTTTGCTGACAAGGAGACAGGATTCAAGCTTCTTTCAAAATGAAATTGGTTAAAAAGTTCAAAGACCTGTTGAAGGAAGGTGAATTTCGTGATATCATGGTGATTACAGGGGAACCACCCACCCATACAAAATCAGTTTTTTGTTCAATACTTATCTGAAGCCGTGTGTTAATATCCCAAGTTTGTAGCGCTTCAAGGTCTGCCCTTTTCGAGAGATTGGTATGTTCTTTAACTGATTTCTTATTGCATTTGTTTATCATAACACCAAACGCTTATTGTTTTGACAGCTTTCATCTTTTTTTTTTTGTTCTTATAGATTTACTGTGTGAAGTTGTTTTGATGAATGATAATGAAGAGAAAATCGCGTTTGAAAACAGTGAGATACAACTAAGTGATCTAAAGTAAGTAGCATAAACAATTTTAGACTGCGTATATTGTTTTACTAGCTTTATAATGTATAATATTGTTTTTCTCATTTACTTACCGATTCTTTCATCATAGCTGATGTTAAACATTTGATAGAATCTGTGCGAGATTTCTTTATAAATTGTTTTTTTGGTTTTTTAAAGTCTAATGTCACAAAATTTTGCTTTAGTTTTTGTTTTTGATTTGATTTCTAAGAGTTGTTGTATCTAATTTGAAGAATCGTTGTATTGCAGTTATACTATAGTTCCATTCCTTCTTTGATTGAATCTGTGAGATTGTCTTACTCGATTCAGTTTTTTGATAGGCACATTTGTCGAACAAATAGGAAAAGCGCTTTGCTTACAATTCTAGAGAATATTTGCCAGTTGTATTTCCCATATCAAATTGTAGAAAAGACGTCTTTGCGACACCGGCTGTAAGTAATCCATCTTCTTTTGTTTTCTTTTTGGGGAAAACGAAATTGATAAACATT